CCTTGCTTCGATATGACATGCCCAAGATAGGTTACTTCTTTCGCAGCAAAGTGACCCTTCTGTGGTTTCAATTTGAGATTTGCGCGACGAAGGCGGTCAAAGACTGCATGCAGGTGCTTCAAATGAGTGTCAAAATCAGGGGAGAAAATGATGATGTCATCCACATATACAAGTGCAAATGACGCAGCACCTGAGTCATGACCATTTGAAATGAAACTGGCGCATTCATGAGACCAAATGGAAGTTTCTTGAACTGGTAATTGCCACTTTGTGATGCGTACGCAGTTTTTCGCGCGGCTACCCTGATCTAGAGGTATTTTCCAAAATCCTGACGCAAGATCAGGTACTGTGAATATCGTAGCATGGGATTCACCTATGGTATTATGTACATCATCAGGTCGAGGTAGAGGGAAGGACATGGGTTTTGTGACTTGGTTAAGACGATGATTATCTACTGCAAAGCGAAAATCACCATTCTTTTTATCACAAGCACTACCGGGCTTGCCCAGGGCGAAGTAGATGGTTCGATTATGTCAGCTTTTAGCAAGTCTTGGATTTGTTTGTCGATTTCTGTCGAGATCCCCGGCACGGATACATCATGGGCGGCATCGCTGCTTGAGTTCGCTGCTGTCCTGGGCCTTGCTGCTGTCGGAAAACTTGGGTTTGCTGGGGGCGGAAGCGACGCTGTCCTAACTCTTATCCTCTGCTTGGTGGCTCTCGGGGAGATGGATGAGTGGCCGCTGAAACTGTCGGCATCTGGTCTTTAAGGATAGCGATCTGTTCAGACAGCTGCTTGATTGATAAAATCACGTCAGTGGATGGGGTTGGTTCTTGCGCTGCAGCTGTCGACTGAGCAATTCTTGCTTGCGTTACCGCCTCATCCATTGTCTTTTGATGAGATTTGATGGGCTCTGAGGTTGGTAGGCAGTCCTCTTATGAATGCCTCCATTCTCTCCTCTTGTGAGTGCTTCAGCTGACAGCACAGTTTCTCTATGTCGCCCAGGTATTTTTCGACCGCTTCGTTGGGCTGTTGTTTCCTGTCGGCCAGCTCCGACAATCGCACCCATCGCATGCTTTCGTGTGGCTCGTATTTCTTGAGAAAAGCCTGTTTTAGTGCCGCAAAGGTGCCCGTTGTTGCATTGGGCAAGTCTGCGTACCAGTAACTGGCAGAACTGGCGAGGTAGAGGGGAAAATTGCTGGCTTGTTGCTCAGCCGTCCATGCTTTCTGGAGAGCATATCTCTCGTACCGGTCGATCCATAACTCGAGATCCTCCGAGTCATACCGGGTGAACTTTGGAAGGATGAACACGATGTGCGCTGTACAGGCCATGGTTGATGCAGATTGTTTCGACCTCGATCGCGTGAGCATGAACAACTCGATGTTGAGAGAGGTACCCGGATTCTCCACCAAAAATAACCCGAGAGGTTATGTAGACAAGTAAGACAGTAAGAGACGAAGTTGTACTTCAGCTGAATGTGGTTTATTCAGTTGGCTGTGACGCTCTCTGTCTGATTGCTATATTCTACTGGGTTTTATACAGTAAATAAACATTCCATCTTACAGCTATCTTACAGGTTTCTTGCCTTATTAGGAATCGTTCATTAGCTATTGAATATTAATAAATATAGAATTGAAGGTGTTTAGTCAACTTGTATCTGGGGGCAGGGCTAGGCAAATTAATAGAACAATCGGATTTCCTTATAAGCCCGTGGGCTGAATCACCGTGGTGCAGCCCAGCATCCACCCACGCGGACCTTGTGACTAAACTGGCCATCCCCTAGATGTGTCTCATTACCAGGAAGGTGGTCCTGATCCTTGAAGGTCAACGTATACAACTTATACAGTAAATATAAAACATGATACTTCATGGTGATAGTATGTCACTTTTGACCCCAAATTTACACTTTTTGGGATTCAGTTTCAAGTTCTGTTCTTGTGCTCGCTTGAGTACTTTCTCAATGAGTTCATCATGCTGTTGCTGGTCGACTCCCCATACTAGAATGTCATCCATGACAACTTTTGTTCCATCTATGTCGTCAAACATCTGTGTCGTGACTGTTTGGAAGATTTCTGGAGCTGACTTGATACCAAACGGTAATCTCGTGTACCGGTATCTTCCGGATGGACTGTTGAAACAAGTCCTTCGAACACATCTGTATATTTCTCCACAATCTATGGACAGTTTTGTTCCACCGTTTCCAGTTTCCTTATCAGCGTAAGTTGTTCAAACGCTTCAAGTCCCAACACTGGTGTTGCGTTGTCATTCAAAACTTAAAATTCAAGCTCGTTTACGTTTGTGTTAACATAGCAAGACACATTTTCCAGCTGTGTTGATTTAATGCCCCGAGTAGGAGACGAGCTTGGCTTTGGATTCCGATATCTTGTTGCACATTTATTTGTTAGTGTAAACTACGGAGGCCTGTAACGGACACATCGCGGTGTACATTACGCACGCACGGCATATTAACCATGGCGCACTCGCTCATTCCCCCACCAACGAAAATGGACATGAAAGGAGACCAGGTCTCCAACTGGCCATTTTTCAAGGCAAGTTGGCAGAACTATCTAGTGGCCACAGAACTGGATAAGAAAGATACTTCCATCCATGTGGCTACATTACTCACAGTTATGGGGAAGGAGTGCTATGAAGTGTACGAAAATCTGCCACTAACAGAGGAACAGAGAAAATCACCACAGCAAATCCTAACCAGCCTTGGAGCTCATTTTGACCCTAAACGCAATGTGGTGTACGAACGATTCATGTTCAATTCCTGCAAGCAAGAGCCCAAAGAGAACATTGACACTTTCTTGAACAGGCTGAGAAAGTTGGCAACCACATGCAATTATGGAGCGCTTCTCGATGAAATGCTCCGAGACAGGCTGGTCATAGGAGTAGTTGGCAACAGCATCCGTCGTCTGCTGCGTGAGTCGTCACTGACATTGCAGAGAGCCATAGACATATGCTGCAGCAGTGAACAGGCAGCGATCCACCTTCAGCAGATGGTTCCGGTAGAGGCAGAGAAAGCGCACTTTGTGAAAAACAAGCAGCGGACACAGAAATCTGGAAAAGCCTGCAAGCCTCCGAACATCAATTGCAAGTACTGTGGCAAATCGCACAGCAAAGGCAAGTGCCCAGCCTACGGGACAACTTGCTCTAAGTGCCAAAAACGCAACCACTATGCGCAGGTTTGCCAGTCATCGGGCACAGACCGCACCAAACGTCAGCCACAGAAAACCACACAGAAGCTCCACCAAATGGATGGAGACGAAAGCGGCAGTGACGAAAGCATTTATACAGTGCAGTCAAAGCCCAAGCAGCAATATTTTGTTGAGCTAGCAGTGGAGACGCCAACAAGGGATCTGACAAAGCCCATCAGATTTCAGCTAGACTCTGGTGCAACTTGCAGCACCATGAAGCTGGCAGACTACAAGCAGCTCAGTGACACGCCTCCGGTGCCATCAAAGACTAAACTGAAACTGTACAATGGCACAATCATTCATCCCGTTGGAGCTGCCAGCTTGAGATGCCAGATCAAAGGGGTCACCAGGAAAATCCACTTCGAGATTGTGGAGGATGCCCCCTCATCTCTGCTGTCAGGTAAAAAGCAGAAGCTCGGGGACTAATGCAGTTTGCACAGGAGTGCTTAGTGCATGCAGTGACAGAGTCAACGACTCAAACCAAGGAACAGGTCCTCAGTGAGTACAAAGACGTATTCACTGGCCTTGGTCGGCTACCAGGTCACTACCACATAGACATTGATCACAGTGTCACTCCGACACAGAACACCAGGCGCAGAGTACCCATCCCTGTGCGGGCAGAGCTGAAACGAAAGCTAGACAGCATGACAGCCCAGGGCACCATTGCCCGGGGGACTGAGCCTACCAAGTGGATCCACAACATGGTAGTCGTCAGAAAGCCAAACAAAATCAGGGTATGTTTGGATCCACACGGCCTGAACAAAGCCATTAAGCGCAACCATTACCCCATTCCCACCGTAGACGAAGTAGCCCCGAGACTGAGGAACGCCAAGCTCTTCTCGGTGGTAGATGCCAAGGACGGTTTTCTTCAAGTCGTCCTTGATGAGCCCTCCAGTTATCTGACAACATTTTGGACGCCTTACGGGCGTAACCGCTGGTTGAGGATGCCCTTTTGTATCTCATCAGCACTGGAAGAATTCCAGCGCAGGCTCCATGAGTGCCTGGAAGGCCTGGAAAACATCGCAGTGATTGCAGATGACATCCTAGACTACGGCTCGGGAGAAACGCAGGCTGAAGCAGAAGCCTCACACGACGCCGCATTCACCGCTCTTCTCTCGAGATGCAGAGAGCGGAATCTGAAGCTGAACGCAGCCAAGCTATGGTACAAGCTATCCAGAGTCACATACATGGGACACGTCTTCAGCTCAGACGGACTATCTCCAGACCCGGAGAAAATCAAGGCCATACACGACATGACTCGCCATACAGACGTCCAGGGTGTGCTGAGACTCATCGGAGTGGTGACCTATCTGGCTAAATTCTTGCCAGAACTGAGCACAGTATGCGAGCCACTCAGACGTCTCACCGACAAAGACGTTATATTTGACTGGTTGACACATCATAACGAGGCCCTGGACAAGATCAAGAAGCTCATTACTAAAGCACCAGTACTGAGCTAATATGATGTCAACCAAGACGTCGCCATCGAGTGTGATAGCTCCGAGGTTGGACTAGGAGCCGTCATCACACAAAATGGCCGCCCAGTCGCGTACGCCTCACGAGCACTATCAGCCACAGAACGCAACTACGCTCAAATAGAAAAAGAGTGTTTGGCAATCGTATTTGCCACACAGCGCTTTGAGCAATCCTAGGCCGCGACAAAGTGCTCGTGCTCACCGACCACAAACCTCTGATGAACATCTTCAGAAAGCCAATATTGGTGAGCCCTAAGCGTCTACAACTTATGCGACTCCGCCTACAGAAGTACTCACTACACGTAGAGTACAAGCAGGGTTCGCGAATGTACCTGAGCGATACACTGTCGCGAGCATCGTTGCCAACACGACAAGTCACAGATCAGACACCAGACTATCTGATCTTCTCCGTCACTCAGGAGCAGAAGCTAAACATGGAGTTGGAGAACATCGAACCAACCATCTTCGTCACAGACGAGCGTCTGCAGAGAGTCAAAAAGGCAACGCTTGCTGACCAAACCCTACAAACGCTGATGCAGGTCATCCAAGCAGGCTGGCCAGGGGACAAGGCTCAAGTTCCTTTGTGTATCAGGGAATACTGGCCATACAGAGATGAGCTGTCAACACAAAACGGGCTCATCTTTCGCGGAACGCGTATTGTAATCCCAACTGCTCTCCGTGCAGACATGACAGCAAGGGCACATGCATCTCACATGCCACGTATGCACACAGAACTGGTTGAGGCAGTCCAGCGCTGCGCAATCTGCCAGGAGTCACAACCAGCTCTCCCCAAGGAACCCCTCATGACGCACCCAATACCCAAAACACCGTGGCAGTTAGTCGCGAGTGACTGTTTTGAGGTCAATGGACAAAACTACTGCGTACTAGTAGTCCTCTACTCAGACTACATCGACGTGCGCACCCTGGAAGACATGACATCCAAATCGCTAATCAAGGAACTGAAGCCAGTGTTTGCCACCCACGGCATTCCTCACACCTTGATCACAGACAACGGACCAAACTACGTGTCACGCGAGTTCACTCAGTTTGCGAATGACTGGGACTTTGAACACACTACCTCAAGCCCCTACCACTCAAAATCCAACGGAAAAGCAGAGTCCGCGGTCAAAATCGCCAAAGGACTTGTGACCAAAGCTGCCAAAGACAACAGTGACGTGTGGAAGGCTATCCTTGCATGGAGGAACACCACTACTCCGGGAATGTCCAGCTCTCTGGCACAGCGCTTAATGTCTCAACGAACGCGCTCATTTCTCCCTTGCAAGAGCTCACTGTACAAGCCCCAGGTTGTAGAGGCCGTCACCGAGCAAGTCGTGACCAAAAGACAGACAGCTAAACTGTATCACGACCGCACTGCAAAAAGCCTCCCTGATCTGGTTGTCGGACAGCCAGTTCTCGCCAAAACTCGACCCAAGGTTGAAGGCTCCCCATGGACCCCGGGAGTGATAAAAGCCAAAGTTGCGCCACGCAGCTACATCGTTGAAGTCGGTAGCAAATGCTACAGACGCAAGTGCATACACCTCAGAGACAGTCGGGAAAACGCGAAACAACCTACAACACCAGCCACATGCGTGAGTGAACCTCTGCTCATGCAACAACCAGCTAGCACTGAGCCACCCAGCTTGAGCGCCGCCAGTCCAGTCGCTAAGGCACAAGATTGACCTTCCGCCCCCACAGACAAACCTCCAGGACTGAACACCAACACTACCATCACCAGATCCGGTCACATTTCCAGACCACCAAAGAGACTTATCGAGTCATAAATCTGACTTTGGGACACTCACCCACAAAGCCTTAGGGCCATAGGCCAACACTTAGTTTAGATAGACTACGCTTGCATGCAGTTTATTGGTTAAAGTTGCTTTTACTAAAGTTGTTCTTAAACTAACCTTATTACTAAGTAGTGTTAAAGGTTTAGAGCTGTTCCAAATACGTTCTAGTGTTAAAGCGTTCATAACGTTTGCTGAGTTATTCACAAAAGCTTAGCGTTCTTGATTACCACTGCAACAGACCACAGTTTACACTCAGTCTCAAGTGAAAGTACAGCAACAAAACAAGACTGTTCCTTATCTTAAGAAAAGGGGATGTTATGGAGTGGCATTAAGCGGCCACCGTATCCATATTATATGATGTTATTACGGGCTGTTAATAAACGTCTTTCAGTGAATGCTACACTTGAGTCCTGCCGTCTTTAGAACAACGGGAATAGTGTTACATTGTGCTCCTGTATCTAGCTTGAATTTGACAGTTTTCTGAGTCAAATTTCCTACCGTCTTGATGTTTACAGTCCAGTCTTTCTTGTTGACAAGTACTGCATCCATGTAGAACTCTGTCTCTGAAGATTCACTGTCTGACTGCTCATTCATTTCATGAACACTGCGAGGTTTTGTACGTCGACTGGGTTTGCTTTTTGAGGGCGAATCACTGAAGCATTTGTTGGCAAAGTGATTCTTTTTCCCACATTTTTTGCATGTTTTGTCATATGCTGGACAGTTCCGAGATTCATGGTCTCTCCCACAGTGCATGCAGTCTCTTATTTCTCGTTTCTTGGTCAGTTATGAACTCATATCTAACGCTTTTTTTTCCGTGGTTCAAAGTGTGCTGCAAACTTTTTCATGAGAGTATTCAAGCTACCTTTACTCTCTCCATCAGCAAAGGTGAATGTATTGTATATCTCCAATGCATCCCCACCTATGACATGAAACATACAGCTACACTGTACTCGGCCAGCTTTCTTTTCGATTCCACTCGCCGTCAGGTACAACTCAAATCTATGTCTCCATTTGCGCCATTCTCCAGCTAAATTGGTACAGTCAATCTTCAGGGCATTAGGGGGTTTTAATCCCTCCATGTTGTACTACTTTGTGGGTTTAAATCACTTCTGATACCATGTAACGATGGATGCAATGCACTCAAAAATGACTGACACTGGAAGACCGTGTGTGTATCCAAGATGGCTGGTGTATTTGACCCAGTTACCACCCGTCAACAGATGGTGGTATATACATATAACATACCTCATGATATATTTATTACACCTTCTTCAGACGGAAGGGAATCCATCGCTGGACATGGTTATCAAATGATGGCCATACCAGGAAGGAGATTGACCACATGTTGACCAGAGATCACTCACTCTTCTGTATCTTCTGCTCTTACCGGGTTTTGGGGGTATGGAGGCTCCAGCAAACACGGACCACCGACTAGTTGTTGGTGCAGTCGAAATTCAGGCCTACCGCAAGCCGCCAAATCCAAACACAAAGCAGCTTGATATCAGATCTCTCCTCGAAAACATCAGCGTAGCCACCAACTACAACATCGCTGTTAGCAACAAATTAGAAGCCCTTGGTGCCCTCGAGGAAGACCCAGAGTCTGCCTGATCCATAATCCGTTCATCTATTCTCTCTGCTGCTACAAAATCAATCGGCACCCGCAGGCACCAGAGACGCCCCTGGCTGACCGCTGAAACAATGAATGTCCTCAACCAGAAGCGAAATGCTCGTCTGCGTGGTGACACCTGCGAGGCACGCAGACTAAAAGGCGTCTTCAAAGCTAAAGCCAAGGGCGACCTTGAGAAGTTCTATGGCAAACTCGCTGACGACGCTGAAGAATGGTTACGTAGAAACTCATCGCACAGGCAACAGCCGTAACCCCTGCAACAGATGTTTCCTCAGACGCTCCCACCCTGTGCAGAGGCCCCAATCAGATTGGCCCTCCATGATCTCTTCCTCAAAGTATGGTCCTCTGGCAGGGTTCCTGCCGAATGTATAAAGGAAAGGGTCATCGAAACCAGTACAGCAGCTACAGGCCCATCACTTTGCTGTCAGTTCCACCGTTGTCACGGTCACCGTCGTCCCCAGCAGTTCGGCTTTACGAGGAGCCGTTCAACAATGGATGCAGTGCTCGCCCTGCGACTTCTGTTGGAACTGCACCGTGAGTTCAAGATACCTCTCCACGTCGCCTATGTAGACATCAAGGTAGTCTTTGACTCGGAGGACCGGAAATCTCTATGGCATGCCATGAAAGCTACTGGAGTGCCACCATTCCTGCTCCACCTGATTCAGGCCCTGCACGAGGGTAGTACCTCAACCGTGCGTGTCAGAAACGATATCTCAACCCCCTTTCCCACCATATTGGTGTCCGTCAGGGCTGCATCCTTGCCCTAACCCTATTCTGCTGTGCCATCGACTGGATTTTAAATCGCTGTCAGTAAGATTTTGGTATTACAGGGGGAGACAAGTCCTTCACAGACCTGGACTATGCCGACGACGCCGTCCTATTCTCAGAAAAACCCGACCAGTGGCCTATCTTACTCCAGAGGTTTCAGGAAGAAGCCGGGACGACGGGGATGCACGTGTCATGGGCCAACACAAAGCTCCAGAACTGCACCGGCCTTGGTCCACCACTCACCCCAGCCACCGTCATGGGCCAGCTTGTCGATATCACGGAGAAGTTCAGGTATCTCGGCTGCGACATCAGCTCCTCGGGTTAATACTCATCGCCCGACATCCTCCGACGAATTAGCCTAGCTTTGTCAACCTTTGGCCAACTGATGATGATGATGATGATGATGATGATGACGATGATGATGATGATGATGAAGATGGGGATGATGATGATGATGATGACGATAGGATAGGTAGCATGATTGTTTATTATTTTGTTAAAACAAAAAAACCACTCTTGAGTCTAATCCCAACCAGTACCCAAAATTACTATTGTCTCCACAAAGGCAACTTTAATTGATGTCAAATGCATAGGTTTCAAATAAAAAAACGTAGAGCTCCTCTCTACATTGATGATTACCAGAGATACTCTTGAATTCAGCGAAAATGAGATATAAGCTCATCACCACAGAAATTGTACATTAGTAGCCTATTGCCATTTTGCAATAGGCTGGCTTGGCGCAACCATAATCGTTGTGATTTTTAGTCAGGTTCCCGACCCAAAAGATTCTGACTACTCCTGATGAATCTTAGGTCCGGTAGCCTCCGGTAATACATTGTAGTACAATTTACGGTCACGTGATTTAAACGGGAGGAATTCCCCCTTTTCCAAAAAAATTCCGAAGTTTGCCGAAGTCGTTTCGTCGACAATCGGATAGCGCCCGAGTATTTCTAATTGCTAATTAATTTTATTTAAAATGAGTTTTGATACTTAATATTTATTTATTTCATTTAGAAAACTTGAAATTCAACGCCGATTTTGTGCATCAAATATACTCGGATCGTATTGGCGAACGTATTTGCTGCGTCATGTACAATTTTGAATTTGACGACAGTTACCGAGATTTTCCAAACTCAGTCTTCATTCGGCTCCACCTGCTAACAGTGCTATTCGGGTGCCTAATTTTGAAGATTCCAGATCAACATTAGTCAATGTTATCTTACAGAAACATCGAACTGTATTATCATAACTGTATGATCATACGGAGCAAGTGTTTTATTATAAAATTTGATCAGAAAATTAAAAGTTACAAGCGATAAAGCGAAAACGGAAACGAAGCCGAGCTTTGAAAAAGGGCCATCAATGTCGTCATGTTTATTTTTTGCCACAGAGGCTGCCTGACCTAAGATTTATCAGAATCTTCTTTGTCTGGAAACCAGACTATGTGTTTTGAAATCAGGGGGCAGGAATCAGACCTTTGCAAGTCCTACATATAATCTGCATACGTAGGGAGGAAAACCTCTTATTCACTGCTAATTGCCTGTCACTATACATTTAAACTTCAAAGAAGAATAGAGGGATGGGGAACCTAGCACACTGGTCTTATTATTGTGTCGTTAGAGGGCGCACCATATGCACAGTCCGTGTCGATCACTAGCGTCTTGGGCCAAGACTATGTCTGGTTGTGTTACCTCCACAGTCCCAAGGAGGTTTTTACATACCCTTTTCAAAACAATGGAAATCAATGAGAAATAACCAGAGGTATGCATCCAAGTATTAATGGGAACCTTATGACCCTTAATTTATGATAAAACCATAACAATGGTCTTTAAATGTAAAGTTTGTTATAATTATCCTTTTGTTTAGGGTTACCTTTTTTTGGGGGGGGGGTGCACCCTGTATAGTAGAGTGTGTCAAGGTTTTGTATCTTTGGGGCAATATGGCTTAGTTTTCTGGTGAAAAAAGTGGCTCCAGTTTTGTATTGCTTCGTTCGTACAAAACACACGTCTCTTCAGTTATTATATATTTGTTTCCCCATCTAAACAGGCTTTATTTACCTCGACGCCGATGATGGAGAAAATGAACAATCAGCCGTTCTGTTAAGTCCGAATGTTCCAGCTGGACAGTGGCGTTTTGCTGCCTGGTACTTAATGTATGGAGCACATATTGGTATGAATTTGTATATTATTGCTTTCAACTTTGTGTTAGTTACGATGGCTATTCTGAAGCCCGAATTATAACTAGAGATAATGTAAAACAAAGTCTTTAACATAAGGGCATCATTTTTATTATTTGGTTTTCATTTCCGACCGAACCTATTTTGGGCTCCTGACCAAAGAAAAAAATATTGTCGCCGACTCCAAATAACCTTAACTAACCAAAACAGAATATGAATATTAAATTTAGACAATCGGGCCGTGTACCCAGGCCAAAAAAAATAGTCCGTCTCTGGTCAAACCAAAGTTCTAGGATTTGATGCGGCGACGCGGTTTTT